GGGAGTGGGGGGGTGGGGAGGGATGTGGGACTTGCTCCCACAGGGAGTGGGGGGGAGGAATGTGGGGCTCGCTCCCACAGGGAGGGGGGGGGGGGGAGTGGGGGGCTCGCTCCCACAGGGAGCGGGGGGGAGGGGGGGAATGTGTCCACTGAATATCTGATTTCCACGTCATTTTCACTCTTCATTCTGCTGTCTGGTCTCTTCACCCTCATTCCTTCCTAGCCCTCGCCCTCAGTCCCACCGCGTCCCCGCTCCTCAGTATCTCTGTCTCTCTCTCTCTCTGTCTCTCGCTCTCTTTCGCCCTTTCTCTGTACAGAACCACAGAATCCCTACAGTGCAAATGCAGGCCATTCAGCCCATTGAGCCCGCACCGACCCTCCGAACAACATCCCACCCAGACCCAATCCTCCACCCTGTCTCTGTAACCCTGCATTTCCCATGGCTAACCCACCCTAACCTACACATCCCTGGACTGTAATTTTTAACGTTTCCTTCCCACAGGTCTGCTATTCACGGCCGGGGACTCTTCTGTAAGAGAAACATTGACGCTGGGGAGATGGTGATAGAATATTCTGGAATTGTCATTCGATCTGTTTTAACTGACAAGCGAGAGAAATATTACGACAGTAAGGTAAGGAGTCAGGGTGAGTGACTCCCTTCCCCTGGCTCTCGGGGGTATGAAATTATAACTACTCGCTGTTTAACGATGAAATTATACCAAACTCTGTGCCCTGCTCTGGTCTCTGTATACCTCAGTTTGAGGTCATTCAGCACCGCGCCCCCCCCCTAGCCTGTTACACAGGAAAAGGAGGCCATTCAGCCCCCTCCTTGAGCCTGTTACACAGGAACAGGAGGCCATTCAGTCCCCTCCTCAGGTCTGTCACACAGGAACAGGAGTGGGGTTGTTCATCTGTCTGGTAAACCACTTCATTTCTGCTTCGAATGAACACTACTGTTGTTGGTGCTTAATGCTGTTGTCTTCTGTTTCTCTCTCTCTCTATCCCCTGGTCTTTGTATCCCTTCTTCTCCGTCTCTCTTTCTCTCCCCTCCCTTTTTTTTTCC